AAGCATTTGTAGAAAATAGATGAGCCAACTGAAATGTCCTTTCGCAAACACAACCGGGGTCAGAAAAAATATCTTGGCAGATGAACAACAGATACATTTAATCTTGGTTGGATTTGAGTTCATGCAAACCAAGTGCGCAGCCGACACAACAATGGCGTTGCAGTTGGCTGAATGCTCGAGAGGCCGCCGTGAAACAACGAGAGGGCGAGCAGGGAATAAAATACGTCTGAGACGGCAAGCGAGGGAGCCTCTCGTTCAAGGTCAAGGTCGGCGTGGCAGGGCAGCATCCACCACGTGACACTTGTTCATGTTTAAAGTGCAAATGCACAAGTCAAGTGCTGTTGATGTTACTGTTTAATGGCAATGGGAAATATTCGACTCAAAGTTTAAATTCCTTGATAAATTGTGAACGTTTATGTGTGTATGCACATTTTTTTATTATTTTACTATGCATTTTCATACACAATATTGCTAATAATATTGAGGTGGTCTTTTTTTTTTTTGCTTCAGAATTTTGTTAATATTGGTTTTACATAGCATCATCTGTTGTAAAGTATTTGGGTTCCAGTATCTTTTGTTACTTTATTTTATTATTCATTTATTTCAATGTGTGCTGTTCATATTTGAAAACGATATTTCTATTTACCTGTGTTAAGATAGGAAAAGATAAGAAAACCTTTATTTGTCTCACAATGGGGAAATTAGCATTAGTTAATACATTAAACAAAAAATAAAAAATTGCTGCAAAATTTTATTTTCTTTACTAATCGATTATCGCTGCCACTTACTTTTATATTTCGTTGACAGTAGGTTTCTGACATGTTATTGGTTACATATTTTCATTCATACTCTATGAACTAAATAAATTTTGAAAATATTTTTCATCTTTCGTAATCGATTAACAACATCAGTTACTTTTCTAGTATTTTGTTGACAGTATATACTGTTCCTTATATTTTATTAGTTATATAATTGAATTCATAGTGGATATATTTAACATATTACTATTTGTTTAAAATATTTTAGGAATCATTTTTATCTTTAGTACAGTCATATAGTCATTGTTTTCAAGTTGACTTTATTATGCGTATATACGGCGTACACATTTTTTTTTATCATCAATACATATTTTGCTGAACAATTATTGGATTTCTGTGTCACAATTTGTCCTGAAACATTATGAACGTTATTCCTTTGTCCACACGAATTCTCTCTGTCAAGTGTTTATTGACACTTTCAACAGTGTTGAGAAGCCAATGAAGTCTTAAGTATTTGCTGTTGGGAGTACAAATAAATCTCAAACAAACAAAGACGACAAGTCACACCATTCAGCTCGGCTATCGATTAAAAAACACCCCCCAAAAAACTGCTCAGCATGGGACTCTTCCGCTGCCGGTACCACCGTACAATTCCGCCATTTGTTCACGCTGACTGATCTGGGAGGAGCCGCGCGTT